TTCAATAAATTGTCTTAATATCTTCCAAAATAGTGCACACTAGTATACGCCCGACTTCCGCGTCTGAGTCTAGTGCGAATGCCAAAAACCAATATATAGCCGGCTTTTGGAGATGAACAATTACATGCCTTGTGTAGCACTTAGCAAGGGATGATAGACAACAACTTTGGGAAACAATAATGAAATTGCTCGTGCTCGGAGACCTTGCGCTAACTGGAGACTGACACTCCCCAAGATGGATGGGTGTTGTCATTCCACAATGGAAGAGGCGGAAGAGGCTTGATTTTATCCGCAAGGGGCATATTTTTCCGCACAATTGTGCCATCCTCTCACATTTTGGCCAGGTTTGCTTAAGTTTGTGTGTTGATGTCAATGTCAGATATTGTATATTTCGATCATGACCCATAGGGCCTTGGCCGGTTGTCGGGGATTCACTTGCCGGAAGGACACTGCGAATTGACGATTTTTTTTTGGATAAACTGATTCTTTGCCCAGAGGCTGGGCTCAATTGGCAAGAAACAACAAATCAAAGGCGCAGATGATCCCTGGCACCAGGATGTTCGCAAAGAACCTTGAAACAAACATCCCAGTGGGTCCCAGTTCCCCTATAGTTATAATAAGGAACGCGGATTTCTGGTCGTCACTTGCCTCCGAGATGTGGGTGCAACCCAGGAGTTTGGCCTACTTGGAATTGGATAGAGAACGGTAGAGATTTGCAATGATTGATAGGAAGGGACAATAAGACTAATGAGCTGTGAGAAACCTGGTATACGTACTTCAAGCTCGGCGGGGAACCAAAGAGAAAATGTCTACAGTAGCCAACCTATGACAGCTCGCGCCAGCCTTTGTCCCAATGTCCCACCGAGGATGATCGTTCCAATGCACGAGGGCGCAGGCATCACCGTGCGAGAAACAAAGTGTTTTAGTCGCCCAATCACAGCGCCCCTTGGCTGTGAGCAGAATTGTAAGGCAGACAGGACTTTGGTTTGGTCACTTCGAGTTTGAGTTTCAGAGCTACAGCACCGGAGACTCGGAGACCCTAGAATGTCAAACATGTTGACAACCGAAGTGCGCTGTTTGATCTTACCTGTTCATCAATGTTCATGCCACCCAGTGCACCCCTCAAGCACAGCTTGGTTTTGCAACAATTAATATACATGTCATGATCACAATGATCTTCCGGCGGTTGACACCTATTTGGGGCAAAAAACGGGTGGAACTGTGGTATTGCTGTACAGGGTTTTATGTGGCTGTCCGGAAAAACAATTCGTAAAAACCGATTGTTTTTGAGGTGTCTAGGCTTCAAAAATGGCCGAACAATTGACAAAAACCAGTAAAGATTGTGTCGGAAATGTTTTTTTGTGCTTTTGGAGGCTTCAAAAGGGTAAAAAACTACGGTATTTACGCGGTTTTGTGCGCCTTCCCGGCGCAAAAACCCTGCAAATATCGATGGTTTTAAGCTATGTAGGCTTCAAAGTGGCCACAAACTTGGCTGATCCAAGCACACAAGTTCGTCTCTCCCATGCAACCTCGACTCTTTTTTTTCACGGCGTGCGATTAAAGGTTTGCAGTGTGGCATTTTGCCATTTCACCCAAAGAGATACATCACGTCTCACCTTCCGGGTCCTAGCCAGAACAGGATTCAGATCAAGTCTTCACAATATGTCCTGACGTGCTTCCGCGCTTGCTTGAGACGACGTAAAGATCTTTGACCGATAGATTGTGCCGGGCTGATGGAAGTCCGTAGTAGCCGTAGTAGTCACTGTGAAACGAAGGATTTCGAACATCCAAACTTTGGGCCAGGGCCGGGCCAAACACGAATTTAGGTGTTGCGCTTCATGCTACCCGAAGCCCGTCCATGGTGGGGAGATCTTCTCCAACTACATATCAACGACAGGATGACCTGAGTAGGGTGGCACGTGAAGTGACTGACCTGGTTTACAATCTCCTTGTAGCTGCAATTGATCAGAGCATCATGCTGCCATTCGACTGCGGTTGCCGCGGTTCCCGCAAAGCCCGGGAGACGTCGCGTGACCGAAAGTGGCAAGGCTTTGGGTTGCAGAGGGTTAAGTGAAGCAAAGCTATTTCTATTGGACACCCCTTGGATGGTCCTGGAGCTTGAAGCTCACCTTTTCGACGGGAGAGGCTTTTTGATAGAAGACACAGCTGCCAGATCGCTTTGCAGTTGTGTAATGAGATATTAATTCAGCCGTTTAAGGCAGGATGTTCTGTGTAGCCGAGGTAGGAAGTAGCTTGCTCGATCTGGTGAACCATGAAGATAGTGTGTCTTTGAGTGCAGTTGCTTTTCCAATCTTTTCCACATGTTGTCGGCGGGCTGAAAGTCTTTTCGGGCACCTACCGAAAGGTAGCTCATGGTAGCTCTAAACGGTCATGGCATGTCATGGCTACATGCTTGGGTTCAAAAACCACAGAAGTCCACGTACCACAAGACTGTGGACTCATCACCCGTGTTTGGTGATGTTTGTGTTGGAGGCAATGACGTTCATCACCCATCCAGCGTTCATCCGAGGTCGGGTCGGCCAGATGGCCGACCAGGGGTCAATACATCGTTCCACCGAAGTTCGTGTCGCAGCCCAATGAGTCAAATGGTTAGTGCACTCTCAGAAAACGGACAAGAGGTCATTTGCAAAATGGAGAATGGTTGGCCCTTGCCTCGTCCCGTTGGCCCAACCTGTTCTAGTCGAGGCTCAGTAAACAGCTTCGCTACCCAACTGCGACGCCGAGTGGAATCCCACCTCACTGGGTCAGCTACACCAGCAGCAGTCAGCAACCACTTTCTTGCTACTAGTAACAGATGCATCGTTACTAGTAACAAGTGCATCGCTACTAGTAGCTTCTTGATAGCTTCTTGCCACTAGCAGTAATGCACTTGTTACTAGTAGCTTCTTTGGAAATAGCCTTTCCTGGCCATCACCACCCAGGTTTGGTGGTAATGAGGCCTCAATCATACTCAATCTATCGGCTCTCGTGTTCTTGTGATTCTTGTGCTTGCCACCTCCATCCGCAGACTCCGCATTTTAGCTCGAGTACTTGCCCCGTCGCCACCGGGCTTTTCGTTGTTCACTGACCTGTTGCCATGAAGTCTTTGTTGGCTTGGACGCCCAAAGCAGGACGGTTTGGGAGATGGGCGTAAGACGAGCTTCTGTGGCATTCCAGACCTTAGCCGTTGCACAACAGTCGTGGTCTAAGACATGACGACCATACCCTGCAAGATGCAGACACCGCTGGTAGGTGTGCCACCATTCTACATTCTACATTGATGCTAGATGATGCTAGAAAGAGCTACCATATATGAGTCAAGAATTCATTGCATTGGATGCACGGTCAGCTCATTACTTTGTTAGCACCTAAAGGGCTGGGATTCCAGTTCTTTCATGCTACCTCAGCAGTGAGAGAACTCTACTCTACTTTCTTGGAATCGCGAGTGGGTGCCGCAGTGGATTGCTTCAGACGGGGGCTGCTTCAATTCACGCACCTCAAAGAATTAGAATCCTGGGTTTTGCACACTTGAGGAGGGAGCAAGGAGAACTATATAGGGAAAAGATGTGAAATCCCGAGGATGCTTCAGGAATCAGAGACTAGTGAAATGATAACCTTCGCCAGTCTCAATGTTGTGGCTCAAGCGCCAAGTTGGGCAGAGTTGGCAAGAGTCTAGTCACAGACTGAACTGTGACAGACCCTTAATTAATGATCCGCCTCAAAAAGGCACTCATATACACACCCAACTGTGTGGAAAACTTGAATGTGATGCATTTTTCACCAAAGAATTGAAGAGGGTTTTTTTTTGACGGGACACCGGCCGGATTTTGGTTTTCTTGTTGATGTAGAATTCACCCCCAGATCAGAAGATGGTAGAGTCTCTCGGAGAGACTGGGTACGGAGAGAGTCCTTGATCCAGAGTGAGCATCACAGCACATGCTTCTTTCGTTTCTATGGTTTGGCAATGTTTGGCATTTAGGGACAATGTGAAATAACTAGGCACCTTTTTCCTTTAGCAGCCCAAATCCTTTAAATGAAGAAGAACACCAGCTGATGGCGACCAAATAAAAGATGACGATGCATTCGTCTCGACCGACTCGTTCGCCCTGAAGCCGGCCGAGACCTCGGGCGGCCACGAGCCCCGCGACCACTCAGGTCGCTTTGATTTCGCTTCAAGTGGATGCTGCCATCGACTTCAACCACCTAGCGATGGTGCCAGCTGGGGATCCCATTCTTGAGCGAGCGGATTGGTGGTGTCTGCGCTAGGATCGCTGCCTTCCGCCAATGTAGACGGTGCAAGTAGAGACGATGTTCATATAAATATATACATAGAAATATATGTGTATCTATGGGAGCTCATGAAGTCTATTATTTATTCTGTTTGCAGTCCACTCTTCCTGAGGTCTCGCCCGCACAGAGCAACTTTATGTAATTATGCCTGCAAGAGGATAATAGCTTGCAGGCTGTTTTCTCTTGAACTTCTCGACATCATTCAGCATCCATGCAGGTTGCTTTAGCTAGTGTTACTCCTCGGGTTCAGAGAGCCAAGCCTTCCTAAAGACTCACAAGGTCTGGCGGTTATGCATCGTGGATGCACAGCATGCATGCAAGAGAAACGCAGCTGGATGGCAGCTATTTTAGGCCAAAGAAGGGCAGATGGCACCCTCAATCCGGAATGCATGAGGCTTTGCCCACTCTGATTGTGGAACCCCGGGGTCGCATGAGTCTCGCAAAACAGACCGAGCTCCTAGATGTATGTATGCTAGCCACTTAGAAACACCTTAGACTCATGTTGCTCACAAATGATTGTCCCATTGCTCCTTGAGATTTAGTACACATACACAATCTTACATCTCCAAAGCCACCAAAGCCTTTACATTGCAAGACAAAAGACTGCCTTCACAAAGGTATTGTAGTTCTTCTGTTTATGTAGTTGTTAGCCTCTTCGGTTTTGAAGTGTGGGCTTAGTCCAGTTCCAGATCTTTTTTTGTTGAACTGTATTCTCTTGACTCTTTACACAATGTATCATCAACATTGCCGCTATTTCAAAGCCCCCCATCCTGTATTCATACTTCATGCTTAGAAGAAATGTGGTTCATTAAGCATTTCATGTTTCAAGAGCAGGTTTTCTTGGTGTGGGCCTCGCCGTGTATCATGATTGTTTCCTGTATGCATTTTGAACAGGCCTTGTCCTGTGCAAAACGATTCCTGTTTGCAAAGTTAAATTTTGTGTAGTGAGAACTTCGAAGCATCACCATAGTGGAAAACACCTGTGGCAGTTCGTGAAAAGGAGAAAGCGGCTCAATGAAGGAGTTTTGGGAAGAAAAAAGGCCGGTGCAAGCATGTCAGGTGTAAATAGAGTGCTTTAATGTCAAGCAGGATTTAATCATACACTCATATCTAATGCGGATGATAATGCGGATGATTGTATGTTGACCGCAAATAATTTCATGTTGATAGTACATGCTTTCATATCAAGAGCATATTCTATTAATTGAAATCAGGGTAAATAGAGCACCGATCAATTTTGATGGAGATTGCATCCTTTAATAAAACTATATATTCAATGTAATTCAATTGGAACATTGCATTCGTTTAATGCATGTTGTTCAAAACTGTTTGTGTAGTTTGTGTTGTTCTTGTTGTTGTTGTTCTTGTTGTTGTTGTTGGTTGTTGGTTGTTTTGTTGTTGTTGGTTGTTGTTGTTGTTCTTAATATATGTCCCTTTAAAATGTGGTTGCACCAATTCAATTGAAACATTGAAAGAGACACATTGCTTTTACTTAATGGGGCTCCAAAGGCATTCCGAATTCCTATTGTGTGCGTGCGTTTTTTTTTTTTTAATTGTTTTATTTTTTAAAGGACATCACTTCAACAAGCTGAGAGCCAAGCATTCCTCACATTTTGGAATATTTAGATGGGATGACACGCGTGCTTTTGAGTAGGTTAAAGAGGGTGCACTTACCATTATCATAGATGTGATTGCATTGCATCATGCATCCCCTCGTATTGGCCAAAGCGGCTAAAGTAAGAATTAAAAGTAAACGCATCGACTGTGTTAGGATGGATGTGTTTGAATAGTTCTTGTTTGGATTTGTCTTTCGCCTGGGAACCCCCCTGCACCCTCCTTCTGCCCCAACCTTAGGTGAAGAAGATGAAGAATACAGAATACATAAATTGAATATTACGTTCTTAAGTTGAATAATGCAATTTGTCAGATGCACAATTATGCATATATGACTCATGTGTTTTTGTTCCATTTGTTCTTTGTTGATTTGTTGACCGTACACCGGCAAAGTTTCAAAGAACAAAAACCGAAAAGCAAAACAAACAAAACTCTGGGAAGAATCTGTGTTCAGCCGCAAAGTTCATCCTTCAACATAGCCCTAATTACAGTGGGTAATTTTGGTTTTTGAGATGGTTTGTGCAATCACAATTTCAAAAAAAATAAGCACAAAAACACACACGAGCCACGGTTTCAGGGCTCCTGGATGTCCAGCGCTGCCGGCACGACGTTGATCGATGACAAGAACGCCAGCTTCGATGGGAGGTGCCGGTGGAGAAACCGCCAGACATACGCACGGATGCACACAGAAATCTCGCGGAATGAACTACTTAAGCCCATTTGGTCATATTGTTTTTTTGGGGGTGCTCACACGTAACGCCTATTGGTTTGGGGCATAGATGCATGATGGATCATTATCGTGCGTTCTTCATAGCTATGGCAAAAGGTATCAAGGGTGTGGTCCCATGCTGAAAGGGGATGCAAGCGTGAAACTGGGTATGATTTTGGTTTGCGAGGTCACACATCTTAGTTGCAACCTTAATGGAAGACCTAGTACGGAGAATCAAATCAGGAACTCGATTCCCAGTTGATGAGGACAAGGTTGGCATGCGCTGGTCATGCTATCAATATGCTTAACTTAACTGTCTTTTCTCCAAATATCACTCGAGACATTCTTCTACCTGGCATGACATGTGGCATTTTTTGAACAATTTGTTCATGCTTTTGTTTACAAGGTTTGAGATGGCCAGCAGCTCTGCAGATAAGAAGGAAACCGTCACTTGTGGAAGACGTGGCCTAAACACAAAGAAGTCAGTCACATAAGAAGCTAGCTCTTGTAGAGAGTCACGGTCAATCCTGAACATGGTGATTCTTGCCACCACTGCACTCGAAGCCTGGTGTGCAGGCTTGCAAACCTAGGCTCGAAGCTCAAGCGCCGGGGCATTTTTTTCAGTTTGAGTACTAGTTGGTGGCACATCCCATTGTAGACTGGTTGTTTCCCGTACTTTGTGGTTGGCGAGATTTGCTTTCACGAATCTGAGGACATTTAGGTCCTAGACCCCAGATGAGTGTGGAAAAGCCGTGACCCGGCATTCTTTGTGCTTAACATGGCAAAATCTAGCTGAGTTCGCC